TGTCAGACTAAATCTTTCCGTAAGATAGTTCTTATGCTTCGATTTCTTTTTACTCTAGAATCTATTATTTCCAGTAACAATGCTTTCAAATAAAATTGCGTTAAAACATTACACATTTTGTTTTGCCAAGTATCATCATTTCTTTCGATGATAATGGTGACGAAATTTTTAAATGTATATACGACAAAGTAACAAATGTCTCTTCTTGTAATATGGAACTGCCCTTGACAGCTTAAAAGGCTTAAACCGAATTTGATGAGTCTATCTACATTTTCTACATCTTCGTAACTATTCACTAACATTGTTTGAACTTTGCAGTACAAGCAAATGGGCTGCTTGTATTGTAATATTGCTATAAGTTGAAAAATATACAAGTCGTTAGATATGCAACCAACAATTACAATTAGCACACAAATCAGTGAGTTCTGAGTCCTAAAATCTGGTTTTAGTACCCGTGATGTCAGAAATTTTGTCTGGACCCAAGCCATTTTCTGAATGATATCCATCGCGCAAAAGTAGCCACGCGAACGAAACCCTGCCATACGTCCTGAACCATTACCGCCACCACATGGTCACACTCACGCACCGCCACAATGCAATCCTGGATCGTCTGGCCAACGCCATCAGGCCGTAAAGAGGGTGAATCATAAATGAGGAGGCGAAGAAGGTGACGATCGTCGATGTCACCATGCCGTTTGAAAATAAGTACGAGGCGTTCGAGGATGCGAGGAGGGAGAAGAGGGCAAAATACGACCATATGAAGCGGCATTTCGAAGAGGAGGGGTTCGAAGTATTCCTGGAAGGCTTCGCTGTCGGACTCCTCGGGGGATGGGACCCGGCCAACGAACACACCATGAACCGCTTAGGCATTAGTTGTAAATACTCTGGCCTAATGCGGAAATTGATGTGTTCGGATGCCATCAAGTGGAGCCGGGACATTTACGTCGAACACGTGACGGGGGTCCGGCAATACAAGGCGCCAGGACCAGATGGGGAGGAAGCCTGATTAATCTCTTTCTTTTCTTTTTCTTTTTACATATTTTCTTTGATATATATACTTTTACATTTTATTTATTTTTTACACATTTATATATATACAACATCTTTTCTTACTTTGTAAAACATTTTTCTAAATAAAGTTTCATCTGTTCTTATCAGCTTAAGAAAACAAAATTTTACAAATTATCCACAACCACCCCCAAGTGCAATAACTCAAAATTCAAAAGTACAATAATTAAATCTCAGTGCAATAATTAAATCCCAGTGCAATAATTAAAAATCAAATCATAGTTCAGTGCAATAATACCGTGAAGTGATCACAGATATATTTACTCAGATATATTAAAGAAAAAGAAAAATGGCAACCCCAAGTTCCACCGCGACCGCTGCAGCCTTGACGGAGGCCAACGAAGAAGCACTCCTCGACTACGAACTGGACTGCTTGCTGGAGGAGGAGTTTGTGTGCCGAATCTGCGCCCCCATGCCAAAAAAATACAAAAGACATGGGGACCTGAGCAAGCACATTCGCCGCTACCACCTCCACCGGCTCGTCTTCAAGTGTCGAGGATGCGAAACCGTCTTCTAGACCCTCAAGGCGTGCAAAACGCACCAGAAGCGGCAACCGGAGTGCATCACCGCCGCCGATGCCACCGACATCGACGAACCGAGGCCGGCCAGCCCGCCAACCCAAACGCCGCCACAGGCGTCCGCGACTGGCCGGCCGGTTATGAGATTCCGGATGCCACGGCCAGAGAAACCAGCCGCCCCAACACCCACGCCTGCCGCCACACCGCCCCCGAGACTGCCGAACGCACGGGAGCCCGCCCCCGCGATCAATCGGCAGCCATACCAACCACACCACCGGAAGCGATGACGTGCAACCGCTTCTCGATGTGACAACAACGGTCGCCCGCTGGGCAGGGTTGACCTTCAACGCCCGAAAATATGCCACCCTGCACATTAACGGGAAACATCGAGAAGCCGTCCCAACACGGTTTACTATTCCAAAGCGGCGTACCAGCAGAGCTCATGAATGAGGATGACGTGTACGAACATCCGCTCAAGGCAAGAGACACCGAAAAGGCCCTCCGCTGCGCGATCCGGGATTATTACAAGCGGAGACTGCTGGCGAAACCTGACCAGGGCAAAGTTTTCCACGTGACATCCGTCGCAATGGCGCCAAACCACTTCATGCGCCCCGGCGACTTCACCCGCTTTGCCGACTGGAGGTTTGTCCATCGCGCGAGGCTGGACTGTGTGCTCCTGAACGGGACGAAGAGATTCGGGAACGGCGACAAGAGGGGCAGACGATGTGGTCACGCGAACGAAACCCTGCCACACGTCCTGAACCATTGTCTCGCCACCACATGGTCACAGTCACGCGCCGCCACGATGCAATCCTGGATCGCTTGGCCAACGCCATCAGGCCGTCGCCCGGGGCCGTAAAGAGGGTGAATCAAACGGTGCCCGGATTCACGGACGGTCTCAGGCCTGACTTTGTCATCATAAATGAGGGGGCGAAGAGGGTGACGATAGTCGATGTTACCATGCCATTCGAAAATAAGTACGAGGCATTCGAGGAGGCGAGGAGGGAGAAGAGGGCAACATACGACCATATGAAGCGGCATTTCGAAGAGGAGGGGTTCGAAGTATTCCTGGAAGGCTTCGCTGTCGGACCCCTCGGGGGATGGGACCCGGCCAACGAACACACCATGAACCGCTTAGGCATTAGCTGTAAATACTCTGGCCTAATGCGGAAATTGATGTGTTCGGACGCCATCAAGTGGAGCCGGGACATTTACGTCGAACAAGTGACGGGGGTCCGGCAATACAAGGCGCCAGGACCAGGGGGTGCGATTTTGTTTCTCTACCGAAAAATTTGCGGTACCTATAAATTTTCGGTTGCATTTATCGGTTGTCAGTCAAATTGGTATTTTGTTTCTCATCCTAACCGAAGCGATAAACGGTTTGACAGATCGAACGTCGCGATAAATAAGGGCGCTGTTGCCAGATGTATTTCTGAATTGTTACTAATTTCACTCGTATTTGTAACTTGAAATAACGAACTTTTACAGCGAAACGTCAACAAAAACTTTGCAAAATGGCTCGCTTTTTTCCATACCTAAATAACAACGGTGGAAATAACTACTTAAGACGCTTAAAGCAACGTTTGCGCGACGAAAATGACGCATTTGATTTGACAGACGCTCGGTAATAGTTAAAATTTCAAAATTTCATTCATTTATTAAAGATACACAAATTTCTCTAGTTTTATGGAATTGTTCCGATTAAACAAAGAAACCATGAGGGAACTAATCAATATGCTGGAGCCTCACCTGGCTGGGGGCACTAGAGGGCACAAAATTTCAAAAGAGCATAGAATCTTGGCGGCAGTGAGATTTTTCGCTAGCGGTAGCTACCAACGTTCGGTGGGACAGGATTGTTTTATTAATCTGTCACAATCTCAGATTTCCCTTGCCATAACCGAGGTAGCTACCGCTATCGAAACTCATTTGCATGGTTTCATCAACTTTCCAGGCCAAGAAGAATACCCTGGAATTAAAGCAATGTATATATTGCTACAAGTATCCAAATATTTCATTTACCACTTTACTTTATTCATATAGAATCATGGAACGTTTCAATGTGCCAGGGGTGATTGGCTTTGTTGATGGCACCCATATTGCCATCACAAAGCCAAAGGTTGATGTAGAACATCAGTACATGAACCGTAAAGGATACCATTCCAAAAACGTTCAGATTGTATTAACTGTCATTTTATGATGATCCTTTTTTTTAATCTAAAATTTCTTAGATATGTGGGCCCAACAATAAAATTTTCTCTATAAATGCGGCACATGGTGGCGCAAGCCATGACGCCTTTATATGGAGAAACAGTCGTATAAACGATGTTTTACACGAACGTTTCATAACAGGTGACAGGACGTCTTGGCTGCTCGGTATAATCTAAAATAAGCGCATTTTGTATACCATAACAATGAATTTAACAGGTGATTCAGGTTACCCTTTATTACCATACATCCTCACCCCAATTAGGAATCCCCCTGAAAATTCACCCCAGCATCGATTCAATGTTGCCCATCGAAGGGCCAGATCCTGCATTGAGCGATGCATTGGGATTTTAAAAGCAAGATTTCGGTGTTTGATTAAGGAGAGAATGCTGAAATATTCTCCAACGAAGGCGGGTTCTATTATCAATGCCTGCACCATCTTGCACAATATCATGATTCATCGCAATTTGCCACTACCTGAAGAACACGAAATCCAAAATTACATGGACGACCACGAGGACGAAGACCTTTTTGCACAACCTGTTGCAAATGAACACGAAGCCCGTATTGGGAATTTGGCCCAGCAAAATCGTGCTAGGGTGATTCAATTTTATTTCAATTAAAATTTATCCAACAGTTATTACCTACCTGTTTTCTTTTCGTATCACCTACGGCACTATGACTAGTCGCAAGATATGTGTGGCTGGAGCTGGAACTTTTTCGTCTTTTAGGTGGCAAACGAAGGCAGTTCAAGCCCCGCCAAAATACAAAATCCTCATAACTTTAAGGGGGATCCCATTTCTAATCAATTTAATAAGATAATCTATTATTATTAGAAAAAATTACGCACTTGTTTATTTACATTTTTTTAAATTTAAATACATTATGTATACTGTTATACTTAGGTATGTTTTAAATTTTATCATTTTACATATGACACACGAGTTCAAAACAGCTTCGTTTAAAGGGTTGCATATTATTAAATAACAGTATTATCGTGTTCTTGAAACAACAAGATCGTTTTATTAGTCGCAACAATCTCCTGAAAAAATCATTGTTAAAGGTGGTAATCAGTGGTGTTGGTGTGTTATGTATTTTCTGAGAGTACATATGTGTGTAACGTTGTACATATGTGTAAAATACGTGTTGCAATACGTACTTGGAACATGGACATTACTTTTCCATATAATGAGAAAAGAAAAACAGGAGTTACTTGAAATTTAATTTAATCCTTCCAAAAATTCGTCCAACATGCTACATATGCGCTCCGTTGCAGCTACAAATTTTTCGGTAGCTTCAGCATGCCTTTCGAGGGCTGCAGCTTGCCTCTCGCGAAGGTCATTGCCCCTTTGTTCTTCTCGAAGGAGCTTTAAAAAATTATCTTCACATCCTTGAGAATTAAAAAGGGCCCGCCGTTTTATCGCGCGACGTGGGGTCGCAGTCTTCTTGGACGTTTGGCTGGTGGAAGCTTGGCTGGTTGAAGGTTGTGGCAAGGGTGGTGGAATTTCTACAGGATACTACAAATCAGGGTATTAATTTTGGCACAAGAGTATGGTAAAATTAGTACATCGTCACCGTCACTGTCAGGATATTCTGCAGGAGCCGGGTCGGGACTTGCAACTGGTTGTGGAATCTAAAAATGGTCAATGAATAATAGCCAACTTTGAAGTGTTAATTTCTTGAGGTATATTCTGTAAATATGTTAACAAGTGACATATTATTTTTTATTTTAAGGTCATAGGTATGCTGTAGTATGTGTGCATCAGTGATGAAAAATACTTACCTGGATGATGGGGAGTTCTTTGGTTTTCCCATCCCCACTGAAGTCTCGGCCGATAATTTGCAGAACCCGTTTTTCGATTTGGGACAGTTCCTGCAAACCATCGTCGTCTTCAGATGGCCCGGCACCCCCTGTCTGTTGTAGCTTTTTCAACAGTTTATTGGCCTTCGTTTTCACGGCCGATTTCCAATCACTCCAACACTATTTAAATTATTTTATTTTTAAAGATGTGTGAACAAAAGAGAAAAATATGTAATTTTAAGGTCAAGGAGGAAACACATAATGTAGAAATACAAACTCTTTGTCACTGTTTGATATCCTTGTTTGCGCCACCACAGGCATTCAGGGTGCGCATAAGGCGCTTCCACATATTTTGCACCTTCGTACTGTCAGTTTCTTGGTTCCTCGCAAATTTCAAGTGTTCCTCCATGAAATCTACGAGGAGCCCTTTCTGCTCTCCGCTGGGCTTGCTCAGCCTTTTCTTGTCCATCTAAACAATATGGGAATTGGAATTTTTGGGAAAATAAATTTATGCAATTTTTACACGAGTTTTTCTTTAAATAAAGACGGAACGTTATATCAATTGTAACGATAGATATTAATTATACAAGAAGTAAACATATTTTCTAATATGTTGTTATTATTACCTCAATGATCCTTCCAAACACAATTTCTTTTCAAATTGTGGAGACGCAAGAATTGTGCGCGACCATTATGCCAACAACCAAATTTGAGGTTAAATCTGATTTGTCGGTTGGGTTCGGGCAACCGAATAATTTTCCGTGGAGAAGTGATAAATGTGAGAAACAAAATCGCATTTTTGATTGCTAACGATAAATATGACGTAATAACCTATAATTTATCGCTTCGGTCACGATATATGAGAAACAAAATCGCACCCCAGATACGGAGGAAGCCTGATTAATTTCTTTCTTTTCTTTGTTTTTTACATATTTTCTTTGATATATATACTTTTACATTTTATTTTTTTTTTACACATTCATATATATACAGCATCTTTTCTTACTTTGTAAAACATTTTTCTAAATAAAGTTTCTTCTGTTCTTATCAGCTTAATTTGATAAGATTTTAATTTCACCTAGATCGTGTTTTAAATCATAAAGTGTATCGCGTTAAAAGCAAAAAGTGCACAAGTGTTTGGTGTATAATACTAACTATCGCCTTGTTTATAGCCCCTGGAATATAATGGAACAAAAACAAACAAGAAGAACAAAAGGGATTCCGAGAATTCGAGGGATGCTACGAACATAACTTCCTCATACAGTCGACCCTAGACCACGCCAGGCGAGCAAGGAAAAGAACACTGATAGCCTGGCTGGATCTTGCAGATGCGTTTGGCTTTGTGCCCCATGAGCACATCACGAAGCCGCTGGGTCGGGTGGGCGTGTCAGCTGGCGTCATAAAAATAGTAGAAGAAATCAATACTGGCAGTACGGTGGTAATAAGGGTAGGAAATGAGAGACGCCCCCAATATGTATGCCGAGGGCGGAAGATTAGCGCACTGGCTGCCGACAGCCCTCCACACCTCCAAGAGATGTTAGAAGTGGCAGGAGATGCGGCGAAGAGAATTGGTCTAACAGTCAAACCTGAAAAATTTGCCGTCCTTGACCTGGACTGCACGGGGAATAATATGTGCAGAGAGACCGTTCTGCGAATACAAAACAAACCCATCCGGCCAATGAAGGAAGGAGAAGCATATCAACACCTCGGTACCCCCACGGGATACAACGTCGATACATGAAGACACCCTATGTGCCATGAACGACCAGCTCCATGCGATCTCCGAAAGCGCCCCGGGCCCCTGGCAGAAAATCAATGCGGTTAACACGTTTATAACGCCTAAAATAGATTTTTTTCTAAAAGGATCGTCCATGCAAAAAAAAAGAGCAGCGCACAGTTTTGACAAACAGCTGAAGAGGGCCGCCAAAGGTTGGTTAAATCTCCCCCAAAGAGCCAGCCCAGAACTCCTATACTTACCATACAGCAAGGGAGGGGCCAACATCATGCCCCTCGCTGACCTGGTGGATACGGCTACGACCACCCATGCAATCAAAATGCTGACCACCCTCGATAACACCGTCAATAGCATAGCCAAGTGCCAGCTGGAGGCAGTGGTGAGGCGACGTATCGGCCGAAAACTAACGGAGGCCGACCTTGCAGTATATTTGAACGGCAGCTTGGAGGGGGAATTTGCGAACGAAGGCGGAGATATCCAGTCCCTGTGAACGAGAGCAAGAAATAGTAGCAGGAGATTAAGAAAGCAGATCGAAATGAAATGGACGACAAAAGAAACCCAATTAACCCTGACTGTCAATGGAGATCCGGTGTGCAGGCGTAACTTGGAGAGCAGAATCAAGACAAAGATGAGAGAGTGGTATTTAAAACGACTACTGAGCAAGCCTGACCAGGGGAAAATGCTGAAGGTATCAACAACGGTTTGGCAAGTAACCACTTTTTATGCAATGGCTATGCCACAAGATTCGCTGATTGGCGTTTCATTCATCGCGACAGGCTAGATTGTATTCCGTTAAATGCCACAAAACGATTCGGCGTGGGGGACAGAAGATGTCGACGTTGTGGCTACGCCGCAGAGACGCTTCCGCACGTGCTGAACCACTGAAGTCGGAAGGTACGACGGTAGCAGTAAATAAATAAGACCTTTGCGGAAACAGACCTACGACCGGACGTGGTGGTGACAGACGACATAGGTAAGACAGCCACCATCATCGACATCACGATATCTTTCGAAAACGGACCTGGGGCCTTCCCGACGGCGAGGAACGCGAAAATTGCAAAAGTGCGAGTCGATTGCAGTAACCCTGAGGGAGCGGGGCTACAACACAGTAGTAGAAGCCCTTATTGTCGGCAGCCTGGGGAGCTGGGACACCGCCAACGAGCCCGTCCTGCATAGGTGCCGTGTCTCCAGCAAATACTGCAATCTGATGAGGAGGCTGATGTGTTCGGAGACGATAAGATGGTCGAGGGATCTATATGTTGAGCATATTACAGGTGCGAAACAGTACTGAATCCCTCGACCATCTGCTTTTACACTTTGACATCATTTTAATGTGTTCTTAGCAGTTGTAGAAAGTAGGTAATGTTGGTTGCTTTTTTTTGGCTTTATTTATGACAATGTTAATTTTAAGTATTAGATTTTATGCGCATGTTATACACATAACTATGCTATTAATTTTTTATCAATTGAATGTATTTGAAAAAAAGAAAAACATTAATAAAGGAAATCTGTTCTTATCAGCTTATCTGATACGCCCCGCATGCGGGGCCAGTATACTAAACTGATTTTTGGAAATTGACGGAGGCTAAGGGCTTGCTCCACCTCCGTCGCGGGGTGGCCCGGCATTGCAGTACAGTCGGGAATGGCCCACCTGATTCAATAAAAGACAGTTTATTGCACGCACTACGAACAATCAGTTTTTACTTTTTTGAAGAAGCGTAAACAAAATAGTTCGTAACGAAGTTCAACGGTCGTCCTTCGATTAGTAAGTCACGAAAGTTGACTGTGTGTGTGTGTAGCACGTGCAATATAGTACGCAGACGCGACCAGAACGCACACCTACGATTGTTTACTAAACCGTGTATCTCGGAATGCCGCCACGCGACACCACAACAACAATCAGAAGATTCACACAAAAGTAAGGTTTTGTTTACGTCGTGAATTCCAACCAACGCCTCTTGGGATGTCAATAGAAGTACACCGATAGGGAAACACATCATACAACCAACATCCCCCGGATGATGATCCTTGATATCGACGAGTTATAAGAGAACTATTTTAACACTCAATTTAATGTCGTGTTTCAGAGACAGGTTTTGCGAGCATCTGGGCATGCTACCACGTGGCCTCGAGCGCGGAGGATAAACTAAGATTTGGGGAAACTAATTGGGTAAAAATTGGACTGCACATGTAGGAAAACCGAAGACAGAAAATCTTGGAAGGCAATTTTTTTCTTTTTTTTTATATGGGTGTTACATTATTTCTTTAACATTTATCGACATTATCAAACTTCAGATTTTGTTATAACATAAATCATAAACTCACTTTTAAGTCGTTTCCTAAATTCGATGCGCCGAATTCGCTAATTGGGTAATACTTTTTAACAGCGCGTCCGTGTCATTTTGACTTATCATCATTCAACAAGTTTGGTACTACACTTTATCAGGAATTTGACTGCTTTAATTAACAATTATTTCATCAATGAGCTCTATCCTAATGGTTGGAAATCACAACGGTCGCAATTCTTCGGTACAAAGTGTGCAATGAGTACTAAGGGAAATGAAGGCGCACGAGTAGTCGTCCCAGCTACTGTCCCATGTCTAGTACTAAAGAGTGCAAGGACACGAAGGGAAAAGGCGCACGAGGTGCCCACCGTATCTGCTACAACAGACACATCCGCCACAATGGATCTTTACAAGTTCTTCCTCCTGCGACAACAAGCACATCCCGAAACAACGAATAATCATAAAGGTGTCATAGGAGGGCGGACAGTGTAATTAAATTAGCCCGACATGTCAAGCCTCATTTTATCACTTTTACTATTTCAATATCTCTCAGGATTATGTTAACATTATTTGACAACTGACTCGGTACCACTTATCAATAATCATGTCAAATAACAACAAGGAACGGACTCACCAAATCACAGTAGATAAATCCAATCAGCTTTTACAACAATTAACAATGCAGATTACACCGTGGTGGAATCTCACTCACATCACCCCTAAAACCGATAACTCAGTGATACACTCACTACCCACTTATTCGCTGAATGTGGTCTTCACCCGTCCGCGTCCGGCTTAAAACTGAAAACTATTCCTCCGCACCTTTTTGATAAAAACTTCCATAAAACACAGAGTCACCCAGCTGGGCCAAATCACTCATCAGGGTTCTAATAGACCCGTCAAGTGGCTGTGGCCCTAAATAGCGGAGAAAATAAATATCAGTCACAAATCTTTCCTACACATATTGCTATTAGGTCCATTTGGAGGACTTTGCTCCCTGTAGGAAGGAAACCCTGACCAGCCGTCTGGGTATTAGTTTTCGGTGCTGCCATATGTTATGGAAACTGATGCTTTCGGTTGAAATTAAGTGGAGCAGACATACTTATTTATGTTGACCACATTGCAGTAGGCACGTATGAAAGGACCCTTAAAGACTCGGGCAAAATAGCTATTTATGTGTCAAGGACATAATGAAGGGATTCTGGCGCGAGGAAATGTTTAAAGCCCGACGAACGAGAGTTTTTAATTTGCCGAGGGCCATCATCGACAGTTATGCCCGTGGCACATATAATGTCTTATTCTACTTTAGTTTCTAAAGATTCAAGAAAATATGCAGTATTTATGGCAAGATTGTTTGAATTGTCGGCTAAAATTTGATGTTGTTAGAGATATTACTTTGGACATTGATTTCGATTAATCTGTGCCATAAAGGCCAATTTATGCCCTCATTTAGGTGCTTATAAACAAGATTAGGATTCTAAAATAGAATAGGTTAATAAACACAAGGTTTTCTTTTTCATAAATGATTTATTTACTCCGCTTTTTTCGGTGTTTGCATTAATTTGACTGTCCCATGTGTTGTAGCTAAGTGTTTAATTGGTTGCATACCTTGGAAGACGTAAAGTGAAAACTGACGAGCTTATTTATACAAAGTAAGAAGAATAGTGCCATATTAATCCTGAGACTGTAAGTGATCTTCAGTCGAAAGATTAAGAAAGTTTATTCCAGAGATGCATATCAAATTTTTCTCCCAACCGGTTAAATTAACAATACATTACAAACGGAAGTGACGGCTGAAGAAAACGAGTTTGTTGTGTCTCAAAAAAAAAACACTCGAAATCATCAATTGAAGTTAATTTTATAAATAAAGATGTAAGGTCCAAGTTGCTTACGTAGAAATTGAAAAATGTGTATAAAAACGGGTTACCAAAAATTCTTGAAATGGTGTGAGGAGAAAGGTACTAAGAATGTTTCTTCTGAAGATGTGATACTGGTTCATTTTTCTGAAATTTCTGAATCCTATAATGTCTCATTGCTCTGGTCGTAGTATTCGAAAATTAAGTCAGATTTACTTATTGATCAAAATATGGACATCGCTAAATTTTCAAAATCGATAAGTTTTTTGAAAAAAAAAAGTGCGGAAAGTTATAAAACAAATTATTCTGTTCATAAAAGAGGCTCTGGATGAAATATACTTAATGCCCAAGGTATCCGATTTCTTATTATAAAATTAACAGTTTATAATATGCGGCTATGTTTAATAAGTGAGCATAACGATGGGTATTGCTGGAGCAAGAACTCTTAAATTTATCAGTAGATGATATTAGAGATGAAGGAGCAGTTATAATTAACCTCAAAAATACAAAAACCAGGATTAATCGGTCTTTTCATATTGTAAATCCGAGGAAAAAATACTTTAGGCAAAATACAATCGATTATTGCAAGCTACCTATTTGAAGCTTCCTGATGCTAAATTATATACTGAGCACTTGTCTTGGTCGAATTCACCGAGAAGGTGAAAATGGGGACACAGAAGGCCGCCAACAGACCCCAGCAATGACGACCACAACAACACTATACCGACGGTCCTTTTCAGGACCACCATTAAATAAGTAAAAAATAGGAAACGAACAAGTAGTGTTTATTTGCAGAAAAATTAATTTTATTACTAAACAATATTAGAAAATATTTATATATTGATAACTTTGTATGAATGTAACGTGAATCGTTAATTTGTTAACAAAACCCCAGACTTTTCATTCAAAATTTGTAGTTCAAAATTTTCAGCAGAAGTTTGTGCAGAATCCTCATCATCTTCTTTTTGTGATATTAATGTCAACCGTGCTGGTATTAAATTTTTCAAAATTGATGCTATTATAAAGTGGAGTGAATATATTTTCATAACAATAACTGCAATTACCAAGACCAGCAGCAGAAATGCCACTACTGGATTTTCAAAGCAATGGTTAAAAATACCTAAAAATACAATACAAGGATTTAGATATATTTCAGGAAAAAAGACCACACATACCAATGGAGTAACCTTGTGGTTGTGGATTACATTCTCCGGTTATTTTATTGCATTCAGGACATGACTGGTTGCACCCATGTTTGCAGGATAAACCCCATTTATTACCTCTGCATGCTGAAACGTGCATAAAACGACGTCAAGTAGAGAGCCGACGTACAACTGTTTAGTCAAATTGAAACCAAATATCATTATCAACCAAAATATTTACTTACTTTCCTGACACAACTCTCCTTCGTAACCCCAGCTACACTCGCATTTGGAAAATTCACAAATTCTGTGTTGTTCGCAATATGGAAATTTGTGACCTAATATAGCAGAACAACTGACATTGCAATATGTCCCCACAAAACCTGCTTTACTACACGTAGTTATTCCGTTGCTAATTTTTGTTTCGTTATTGTGTAGAAGTTTACAAATTTTTGCTTCAACTGTTGATATAGTTGTCTGTATAACTAAAGAAATGTGTTTATTTACATAGATAGGTACTTTTGGAACACATTATAATACTAATACATACACGAATTATTGTTGTAAGTGGGAGGACAAAGCTGAACATCTATAGCCCAAAACCTATGTGACTGACCACCATGTCTAGAAAATTTGAGCTGAGTATCTTTATCCGGTTGAATATCAATTTTACGTGTCTGCCAGGAATTAGTAACACTAAATTGATTACTAATAATAGAATTGATTAAGATAGTTTTTGAGGATACACCATCAAGTAGCACAACTTGTAAAACACATGTTCGACAAAGCCAGGTGTACAACAACAAACATGTTCTTCCACTAGCGGGTACTGTTAGAGAAGTTCCATTAGAAGTTGTTATATTGTAAGATAACTTGTATTTATCTGAAATAAATTATGATTATTAGATATTTGTGTTCGCATCTTCGGTTTCAACTCACAGGAGTGTTTCTTCCAGTAGGTTAGATTTTCACTTATAATAATAAGTCCATTTGGTTTAAATGTACGCCATTTTCTTAAAATGTGTCCATCTTGTTGGTAGAAAACTCTGGTATTTTGTGTGATAACTCTAGCATGTATCCAACGGTTAACATCTTCAATTTCTACTTCATATTTTCTAGTCATGTTATTTTTTCTTATAAATAATGTGAAGTTGGCGGGTCCATATACTGAGAAGGCAAAAGAGCTCTTGTTCATAAACTCTAGATGATCAGTGTATAAAATTGGAAAATCTGAAAACAGAGTATTTAGTTAAAAGAATCAGATCTGGTATAGACCACTGCTTTTAAATTTGTAATACGATAATGTTATTATTAAAATTGTAAAAGAAATATTCTATTTATCCATTGGCATACATTTTGATTTCAATATACCTTATCAAACTTCCGGACAAGAAATGCAATTTAAATTTGTTGACTAGTTTGATATAATTTAAAACACTTGATCATATCTTTTGTGATAACTGATAACGAAACAGACTCAAAAACAAGTACGTATTTTCACCTACTTTCCAGCCATTGTACTGTCGGTGATGATTCATGAAAGTGTGGTGTTGATAAACATGTATTTTTTTATTTGGGACACTACGATACGATAAAAAGTTAAAGAAACCAACCTTGCCATCGTCTATCGACTAGTGTTTCCGGAATGAATGCGTCTTCAGCCTGGAGAAACCAATCGTCTTCAGCCCATTTACCTTCCGTCAGCAAATCGGTGGTTTCTTTTCCAAAATTTTCTTCAGTTGATGGGGGCGAAATATAAATCGGCAGAAAAATATCGTCCGTTATGCAAGTGACGTTATTATCTTTTTGAAGTGTAATTATTTCTTCAGCGAACACACTTTTTACTATTAGAACCAAAATAAGGAGATGATACTGACTGTTTAGATGCATAATTTTAGCTGAAAACAAAACACTCGATTTTCAAATTTGTGTGGACAGTTTTTCCAGTTATCAAAATTTTGAATTGTTTATTGTAATGAACCATCACTGCAAGGGGCGCACTTTTTTTCTGAAAGTCCAACGAAAAACTGTTAACTTGTTGCGCCTTAAACGAAAAATCACTTGTGATTGCAAATGGATGTACCCTATATATATGTAAAATTTTATCTTTATTATCGACTTTGATTGTATATCTAGATTTTTAGTTGTTGACCTAGAAATACTACGAGTGTATTGCAATAAACTGATTTATGCTTAATTTCTCTAAGTCCGCCTCTTAGAGGTTGCTGATATACCCTAACTTTGAAATTGCTCCACAAAAAAATCGATAGGTGTTAGATCTGGAGATCTGGCAGGCCACCGAATTGCTCCATTTTTGGCAATCCATCTATGAGGAAATGTATCATTCAAATAATCTGTTATTATTCGTGCGTTATGTGGTGGTGCACCATTTTGCTGGAAATACATTCTTTCTCTCACGACTAGAATTGATACCCCAAATATGTTGAAAATTAGTTTCTCTTAGCCCGTGAGGATTTTCTGAAATCCACAATTCCATTCATTTTGAAAGACCCAGGTTGTTCTAAATTTTTCTCTAATCTTGCGAAATACAGAAATTTTTCTTCGTATAAGGTTCTGGATTGTCTTCTATTTGGCCCACACTCTCCGTAAAATAAGTATCTTATCTAACTTTTCGGGATTGCTGAATCTTTCATTTTCCCTGAAACTTTCTCTTCGTCCACCTGCATGTCGTAAAACCTATTTTTTGTTCACCTTTCTCAATAATTCTTATCCTTTCAAATACCTTCCAAAAACCCTTTAGACACAACTGTTTTCACCGCTTTCTACCGACCTTTCTTTTCATTTCAAATTCACAAACTCCAGGACTCTTCCCTCACCTGCCGAAGTTTAAATATCTGTCTACCTAATTTTTTTGCCAAAAGTGGTACACTATTTAACAACAGCTCTTTATTGATTGGAAATCATATCTGACCCATAATATAATAAGTTAATTTTTGGATTTTAGATATTTTAATTTTGCAATGTCTGTGATAAGTGATAACTGATAACCGAGATTTAGGCTACCGTGTTTTGCTTTGGCACAGTTATTTATTTAAAGATTGTAGGTTAGGTAATGAGTACATTTTAGTTTCTACCTTTTATTCTTATTAATTACACTTTTTGCAAATCATGTACACAGGATTTTAATTTGATTGTTTACAAGAAAAATAAAACTTGTAAAAAGAGTAACTTGCAAGGAGAGAATGAATTACATTAGAACTAAAAAATTGGTTGAAACATTTTTGAGATGTTATGACATTGATAGGAAGATTGGACAAATCTGATGGTTCCATAGCTAAAACCACCCTTTCCGTTCTTAATACTTAATATTAATATATGTATGAAATAATTTTCGTCCCTATATAATACATTATTTTTTATTTAACTGAATTTCAAGATACTAATAAAAAATTTGATTACAATAGTTTAGTTCACACTATTGTACTGCCAACCGTAGTACCAGAACGCCAAAATCATTTAATTTTGGGATTTACTTCTGATTCTGCCCATGTACTAAGTTTTAGGAGACAAATATTTGTCCAGCCGGACGACAACATTGAATTACCATCATCTCTGCTTATAAAATGTGAAGGCACAAATTAGAGAATATTTTTAAGTTATGACAACGTTTGTTATAAGTGTAGACAATTGGGACATATAGCAAATGACTGCCCACAAAATAATGAAGCAAATGCTGAAAGGGCTAATGCGCAAACTGAGCCTATTTTCCCCGACCAGAATACACCTACTAACGATATCCCTCGGACATCATCTGCAGCCTATGCAGCAGTTGTGACGAGTAATAAAAGAACTAAAGATTCATCTCCAGTTGAAGATGCAGGTCCCTTGGACTTTTCACTTAAATCACCCGACTCTTTAGGAAATTTAGATACGGAAGAAACGTCTCATAAGAAACTTAAACCTAGTGAATCTTTAGAAAGCTTAACGTCACTTGCAGAAAAACTTATCCCAGCAAAGCAGATTATTGAGAACACAGATCATTAATTTCCCTTGGATTTTGATCAACTAATCAAAGTGATGGACAACATCAATCAGCAACCGTATCCTATAGAATATCTCCTCGATTTTACATCTAATATAGAAGGTGTAATATTTATGTTGCATGAGATATACCCGGCATTAGAATATAGAAATGTCAAAAGTAGATGTTTAAATATTCAACGGAAGTTACGGAAGGCCTTGTCACGTCAAATGGACATGCTCAACACTGCGGAAAGCAATACTGGGAAGACACAAACGACAGCATCTCTTTCGCAAAATTCAATGTCCAACAAATGAATAATAATACTCCTAATACGGAGTATTTTACTAGCGCGGTAGTTTACACTAATATAGCTTCGCTGAATGCCAAATTTAATGAACTTTGTGCGTTTGTATCTTATGAAAAACCAGCGTTTATTTTTTTATCTGAAACCTGGCTCTCATCTGCTTTGCCTGACAGTATAATTGCCATTAATGGGTATACAGTTTTTAGGAGTGACCGTGTTGGTAAAAGAGGAGGTGGTGTTTGCATTTACATATCAGACGCTGTATTGGTCAAATTTTTTGTAGATCCTTTAAATGTTAATACCAAAGGAATTGATTCTCTGTTTTTAAAAATTTCTAATAGGTCCATCAATTTTGTCATCGGTTGCATTTATCGTCCTCCAGACTCATTATTACCTGACGATTCTAATTTATTTGCGGTGTTATCGGATCTAGCTTCAAATAATAATCACCTATTTTTATTTGGTGATTTTAACATGCCTCAAGTAACATGGCCTATAAATATTTCTCAATGCTTAAGTAATGCGTCACAAATGTTGCGTGAATTACTCATCGATAGTCACTTAACGCAGTTAGTAGATCAACCTACTCGATATAGATCGCAGCAACAACCCTCGACATTAGATCTTCTTATAACGTCGGATGAAAACTTACTAGCCAATTTAGAATATTTAGACCCTATTGGAAAATCAGATCATTCGGTCTTGAAGGCGGAATTACAGATGTGTTTTATATGGAATAGCAAGGTTATGGTATACCAAAAAAGAATTGTCGACTTTGGTGCACTGGACAATGAACTAAATAAACTAAACTGGTTATCATTATTCACCGGCTCTTCTGTATGTGACAATTGGGACATTTTTAAGCAAATGTTGAACGACTTAATTGAATCTAAGTCTAAAACGATAACACTGAAAAAGTCATGTAAAAAGCCATGGATAGATAATAGAATCCTTAAGCTTATTAACAGGAAAAGATGTTTATGGCGTAGATTCAGAAGAACAAGTAGTCAGGCGGATTATAATGTACATCGAGTATTCTCAAATTGGCTGTCAAATGTTATCAAAGATGCCAGAAGTAAATACGAGAAAACCATTGGTGAAAACAAAGATCCTAAAAGTTTTTACAAGTATATCAGGTGTGCTCTATCAGGCCCTGTCAGAACTCCACAATTGCGCGATTCTAAAGGGGTTCTTATAGATCGTCATGAAAACATTTCCGATATGTTCGCCAAGTCATTTTCTGAGGCATTTGTGTCTGAGCCTCCCACAGTCTCATCTACCGTTTACTCACCGTCTAACTCCGATCAAATTATAAATGTGGTTGTTACTGAAACTGCGGTTTATGAAAGGTTAAAAAGATTAAAAATAGCTACCTCCCCTGGCCCAGATAATATATCCGCAAATGTTTTAAATAACTGCGCGACCTCACTTTGTAAACCCCTGAGTTTCTTAATGAACCAATCTTTGGAGTCAGGAGTTCTTCCACTAGATTGGAGGACTGCAACAGTTAAACCGATTTACAAATCAGGCGACAAATTTGATCCGGCCAACTACCGCCCGATTAGTTTAACTTCATTGGTGGTGAAGACAATGGAAGCTATAATCTACGAGAAAACGCTAGACTTTTTGCAGAAACATAAGATAATCCCTTCACAGCAGCATGGGTTCGTACCAGGGAAGTCTGTTTCCTCCAACTTGCTGTGCTGTCTATCGGATTGGTCACTGGAGGTGGATCGTGGCAACTCGGTAGATGTTGCATATCTTGACTTCTCCAAAGCTTTTGACCGGGTGCCCAAACGGCAGCTTTTATTCAAGCTTCAACATTACGGTATTAGAGGTCTTCTTCTCCGGTGGATTGAATCTTTCCTCACTGATCGTATTTTCAAAGTCAAGGTCGGAAACTGTTTTAGTCTTTCCGCTCCAGTTTTAAGTGGCGTCCCTCAGGGCTCCATTTTAGGCCCTCTTCTTTTTATTACATATGTCGCTGATCTCAGTGGTCTATTAAAGTTTCCTCATGCGTTTTATGCAGATGACTTAAAAATATATGGTATTTCATCTGACCATCAGAAAATAAAAAGAGATTTGACTATAACTGAACGATGGTGTGAAGATTGGTTACTTCCTCTCAATACCAGTAAGTGCAAATTATTGTATATTGGAAAAAATAATCCTAGGCATAGATACTTTATTAATAACGTAGAACTCTCGACATGTGATGAGTACCTGGACCTAGGGGTGTTGATTACATCAAGTCTATCGTGGTCAGAGCATTTAACTCGTATTATTGCTAAGGCAAATAAGATCATTTATTTAGTATCTAAAACTTTTGTCAAACCTAGTGTTGAAACGACAGCAAAAATTTATAAAACTTATATTCGTCCAATATTAGAATTTGCAAATAACGTTTGGACTCCTGTTCTGGAAAGAGATAAGAAACTATTGGAATCTACTCAACGCAGAGTAACCCGAATGCCGTATGGTATAAATCGTCCGCAATATTTGGATAGACTAGCCACCATGAACCTAACTTCACTCTCTGTAAGAAGAACAAGAGGAGATGTTATTACAACTTTTCAGGCTTTAACAACTGCAAATTCACCTATTAGGCACCTATTTTCACTCAATCCTGATACACGAACTCGAGGACATATTTTCAAGCTTCAAAAAGAGAATTTCAAAACCCGGAGTAGACAACACTTTTTGTCAAATAGAGTTTTTGATCCTTGGAACTCACTACCGGACTATGTAGTTCTAAGTAATTCTGTACTGTCATTTAAAATTAACTACGACCATTACTGTACTGAATAAATTTATATTGTTAGTTTTATTATAGTTTTGTAAATAATAGGCTGCGCGGGCATAACAGGTTTAACCTCTGCCCGAACGCATTTATTTAATAATAATAATAATAATTCTTCCTAAAATATAAGCATTAAAAATGTAAAGAATATGTAAAATGTTCACCCAATAAAGTTGTCACAGGAGCTTCGACAGCAAAAACTAACAAAACTGAAATCAATGCACTATATGCAACAGTGCGCCAAAATTCGTAAAACTTAAAACAAATTTAATTAATGAAAAAATTGAACGTGCTGCAACTTACCAAATTAAAAATCGTAGAGTACCTCAATATATATCTATTAAGATTAAAACTTAGAACTGTGACATGGCTAAGGAACATGCTGTAAGTGAACTTGTTGAGTACTTGAATAATTGTCGACGAAAGTATCGTCTTTACCGGACCTAAATCATTTTATTGATTAGAAATATTTTTTAATTACCAGCATTGTTGGTGGCACACGCCAAAATAATCATTGCAATAGCAAAAGCCCAGGCAGGTCTTGCGAACGCAGCATAAAAAGCATTGCAAAACACGTTATATTCTTGATCTGGTAGATCTCGTGGTGACCCGAATGCACAGGCCACCAACACTGCGGTACATAACAACCAAAAACAAAATAAATATTTCCTCTTAATTACTAAATTACGTCGTTCTCGTTTCACTTTGAAGATTAAATAGCCTGTGATGATTCCTACGATCCAAGGACTAGCACGAGTATGAGGTACCGCGTAATAATTTTCGTAATACATTTTCACTTTTAGCAAACTTTCGTGGTCAAAAAGATAAGTTCTGTGGATTACTGCCGGCAGATTATCTCTCCAAATCGAATAAAAACCAGTCAAAGCAGAGACTAAACAACACGATCCTAACAGAACTATCGCAATTTTGGTAAATTTCCATAATCCAAAAAGTACCATGGGTGATGTTACAAATAATTGCATGTCTGCCATTATATACCAAGCCTGAGGGATGCACTAAAATTTTTACTTGATTACAAATTATGTTGCTCGTCTGGTACTCACAATCTTGCTAGCGTCAATATAATTCTGGATGTACAAAAGGCAAGACGACCAGTTTTCTTGGCATGGACTTTGAAACGACTTTACAAGAAGGGGCCACAGAGGTCCTTCAGCTAAATAGAGTGTCACTGTGGCAACAACTAACATTGTTAAGGCATACGGTACTGTTAATCTACGGTTAAGTTATAAATATTTGGTTTAAACTTGGTTCTAATTACCTTGTGTATCTATGTATGTAATGATCCAATAAACTGAAACATATTTTTTCATATCTGGAAGTCATAAAATTGTATGACAGTAGAAGACCACTAATGGTGAAAAAAGTGTCCACTGCTAGATTTCCACTTATTATCAACTTACTAGAAATATTGTCACCCCTTTCTTTCAAATACTCCGACGTTTCTGAAGGACTAGTTAACATTACGACGTACTGGTGAGAAATAATCACCCACATTATGCTGAGAACCTTTAGACAATCAAGGTAGGGTAAATGATGACTGTTGGGCTTACCCATGTTAAATATTTTTTTGCCTTGGGTGTACGCAGAAAAGCTTTTAACAATGATGGGACAAAATTCTAAGCAAGAGTTGTTGCTCGAAAAGAGACAAATACTCACTTAAATCATAAACGTCGCACAGAGTTGACACAAAAACGATTAACGAAAGGAGAATCAGCAGAAAACTGAAAATTGATTCGTATTAAATGCCTCTTTTAATAATAATTTTAAAACTTGTACATCGTCAAGATTGCCCCTGTTGGGAGTTTTACTTCTACGTCGTCTACAGTTTGGCAGAGAAATTCTGGAAATTCAATTCGAACATCGTTTTCGGTCCCTAATAAACCCATCAATATGGAATTCCCAATGATATCAACGTCTTTTGCGTTACACCCATCTGGTACACATAGCGCCCACTGTGATGGTCTCGAGGGTGGTGCACCGAAAGTCTAACAATGACATTAAAAAAAAAGTAAATAAAAAAATTTCTTCTCCAAATACCAAATTCCTGTTAAATATGAAACCAATGCAGTACTTTCCAACTGTGCTGTCCCCATCATCGAAAGTATTTGTTGTAGAATTTATACACTGTCGAAAATTACCAAAATCTCCGAATTTTAACGTACCAAAACTTGGTGATACTTCCGAAGTGGCGTCCACCACTTAAAATAAGCTACTTTTAAAGATGTCGTTTTTCCGATTATTACTTACTTTGAAAACCCCATGAAACCCGACTGGAATTTAAGTCATCGATAAGTGCTTGCAGCTGGTGGAAACACCGTGATGTTATTAAATTAGACACAGTGCTAGCCACATTTGTAAACATTTTGGATGTATAACCTGCAGCTAAAGGTAGGATGAAATAAATTAGTTTTAACTTCATACTGGTATTTTATGTTTGAGTAGTGTATTAAATGTGTCCATATGTTTCGCTCATATAGTTTAATAGCCTATTCTGTAAATTTTATGTTAAAATTAACACCCCTGTTAAAAGTTAAATTATAACATGAACGTAATCGATATTCTTTATCACCATTTTTAACATACCTGGTTAAATTTGCAATTTATAACAGAGGTGTTAAAATATACAAGGTTGTCAGATCGAGTTTCAATATCTATCATTTTCTATCGCACTAAATGCTAGACTGCTATCTTTGTTATTCAATTATTATTTGAAAACTTGGAAATATTCAGACGATCGAATAAACAAATTAATTCTGACAATAATAATACATTGTCAAAAGTTTTTGCTTGCTACATTATTTCTTTAAAATGTCGGAGAAAAGGGGCTTACTCCGTTGGAAGAAAGAATCTTTTGAATAAAGTAACTGTTGAAGGCATGCCAGAAATAGTGGAACTAGGAATATCAGAAAACGCGAAATGGAAGAAAATATTGAAGATGAAAATTTTGAAAGAAACACAAACAATAATGAAGCCATCAAAGTGGTGCAATTAACACCCCAACCCTCACCACTACCTCAAACTGGAAAAAGATTCCCCAAGAAAGTAGTTAGGAGAAGAAAACCGGTTATAACAGAGAACAGCGAGATTAGGCAACCTATATCGAGCCAAAATAATTTGGCCCAAGCCATTAACAATTTATTGCGTTCGATTATGTGTTTGTCAAAGACAAAACGTTCTCGTTATCAATAAAAAAAATATAATAATCGTTAAACAAGAAAGAATTTCCTTTGATTAATATATTTATAATAAACTACTAGATGAGAATATTTGAAGCAGTTTCCATCAAATAAATTATCTGATGTCCAGGCTTAATCTCAGATAAGAATTCTTTGCTGTTTAAAATTTCACGAGAGTGTAAGGCGAATTTAAATGTTGTTTATTGCCTTTTTTTTTAAACTTTAGCACTTGTTCGATTGTAGTTTAATATCAGAGTTATAGAAATCGAACATTTAAATGGAATTGAGGTAAATAACACAGAAACAGGTGGCGGAAGCGGAGTGCGCGGCTCTTTGAAGAGCTGGCCATCTGCACAAAAGACGCAGACCTTGAGAAGTCAGAGGAGCCGTCGGGATGACGTGATGCTCGCGGCTTGTCCCGGGATTTCCAACCACGAGTTTGCGATCGTGCTTGTTGATAGAGTAAAATCACCGTCGTGGTGGGAGAACAGCCACAACCAGGAGTCCCAAACTCCGCTCGTGTTACAACGGGTAATTTTGTTGTTCCCTAGAATGAAATTGAGATAGTTCGATCTCTACACTGTTATAGCGCTCTGATGCCGCTTGTTCTCTTGATGACTGCCATAATTTAAATTTGCCACCATACGTTCGTAATAACTTGTGTATTTGCATCCAGTTATTTTAAATAAGATTTTTTATCAAAATATCTTGCTCTGGTTCCATTTTCAAATATTTGGAAAATAAATTCGTTCAAATAATTCCACACTTTCGTATAAGGCACAAGCTGTTTGCATTTGTTGTCTGTAGTATTCTCCACACCTCGTGGCAGAAAAAATACGCACTAATAATTCCAGTAAGCAAAAAATAAAATTTGAAATTATCAAAATTTACAAAACCACCTCCATCATTATATCCAACACAAAGTTTATCATCCCCCGAATACATGTCCAGCATAAGGTTTTTTGCGACCAAATCCGAAAGTAAGGTAGCTTGAAATTGCTTAAAGGTAGGTATATTTCGAAGCCCATCCGGTAGCCTGTCGGAACAAAATCGCCTCATTCACAGATTTCTACAGTGTTTAAACTTACATATCCCGTGTTATCCACATTTAGATCCAATTCTCGAGTCCAGTCCAAACACACTGGCATGACTTTAGTGTTAAAAGTGAAAGGTGTCTGTGGAATTATAACACCCAGATCACCAAGAAAAGCTGTTTCATTTCTGAACTGGTCAGTGATGAACATTGCATCTACCTTAGAAACCTGGACTTCGTTTGGGTCTTGGCTATCGTTAAACTGCTTGTATGAGTGTCCGACAACTACGACGTACACTTCTTTGGGGAATATTTGTCGATGGTTTCCTGGTATATGGCGGGTTTCTGTGTTTTTTTTTTGTAATTAAGAATATAATTATACAAGAATTTTAATCAAGTTATCTTACCTGTTAAAATAACTCTTTCGCTTAGAAGGACTCCCTCACCGACATACACGTAGCCAATAAATGAGGTATTCCAGTATATGCTAACGTGCCATGGAATGTTCGATTCAGTTCCAGCCGGTTTTTGACCACAAACTAGAAAACAACGTCATTTTCGTACTACCTTTTCCAAAAACAGTCGTACCTGGTTGACAATAAGGAACCGGAAAATGCCACCTACCACCTCGACAAACACGATTAGGTTTTTTTTTTGAAAGAGGGATGTTCGTAAAACTGGACACAGTTAAACTCAGCCACGGTACCATCGACCGCATTACTACAATTTTATTTTCTGCTATGGTGAAAGCACGATGCGAGTGTGACTGATGTGCTATTTATAGGTGGACAGGTTTCTAGAAAAGGAAAGAATCAGGTGGACCCTACTTATTGAAACAAAAGTACTTAAACACTGGCCAATACTGGGTGACCACTTTCCATTGCTACAAAACAACACGGTACTGCTAGTTAAGATATATTTTTCTTCACACTTTATCATTAAAACAGTGCTCGATGCTACCGAAGTTCCAGGCAGTACAGCATTAGAAGTGGAATCAACGACGGACCAACGGCCAAATTTGGGGTGAGGTGGTGAACTACACCCATTTCTGAAGGAAACAAACTCGACTTAAAAATTTTGGTTTAAGTACCTACTTACTGTAAACCTGTGAATGAAGTTGGTTTTTCAGTTGTGGGAGGGGCAAGGCAGTTGTCATCGTTACCGATTCTGTCATCAAAATTAAAACCACTCTTACGAATACACCAATATTGAAACTGAGAGTACTTACGGTCTAAATTGGACCCTTTTATCTAGTATAAAGTCTTCTAAATAGTACTTTAAACTTTGTTTAACATTCTAATCATCCAAGGGCATCCAAGAGAATATATATTGATTTTCAGACTACGCAACCCTTGTCGGCGGCCAAAGCAACTTATTAAATGTAAAGTTATGACACCAGCAAGAAAATATGAATTTGGATTTTCACCATAGTAATAAATGCTATTGAAAATACTTTTCTTGACTATCGCTCTCGAAGCTGTCTAATTTTTAAAATTGAATAAATTACCAACTTATTGATTTAAATTTTCTGTTTGACATAACTTCAAAGGGCAAATTGTAATTGTTGTTTCCGTGCAATGTATTTAAATTACCAAACCTTTACTTGGTAACACTATTTAACAATTTTAAATTATCTCACCACATTTTTTATTTATTTATTTTTGAATAAAAAAAATTGCCTGAAGAGTACAGTTGCCACAATGGGAGTTTTCTGCTCAGTAGGTATCTACTATAAAAGACCCCCTCCACTGATTTTTAATACTACTAAAATATAAAAAGTAAATTTTTCTCTAGCTCTTAATATTAATGAGTATATAATTTGCAAATCATCGTGTCACGTACACAAAACGCAGGTACTATGTAAGAATTTCATAAATATTTAACCTGAGTGTCCACCTGCTATTGATGAATATGCACTTCCATTGTCAAAAATGTCGAATTAATTCAATCTGAATTTTTATTTGATTTCTATAAATACGATTAAACGAAAAATGTTATAGGTACTCCACTTGGTTCTTAAGTGCCTGACGAAAGCTCGAAAATTTTTTCGACTTTATTATAATTTATAATTATAATGCACTTACAAATTCATAGTGCAAGTTAAAATATTTCATCCCTGATTAAGAAAATATCAAGTAAACCACACGTAGAAAGAAATAAAGGAAAATCATTATTTTATTTCATATTATTATTTAGGGGCTACAATTTCGTTGACACCTTTCACAAGATCTGGGCTTTTTAAAATTGTTACATGGTCACCATCTATCATAGTTACTTGCTCTAGGTTTTCGCTTATTTTTGATAATTGATAATCATCCTCTTCGTCAACCATGGAATGTTTTGCCTTGAACAGATGCACTGATGATTTAATTTTCTTATTTTTAAATGTATAGTTAAGTAAAGCTTTGCAACGGTGGTATAGTGCAATACCTGCCCGCTTTTCTAACTTTTGTTTGTTATTTGTTTCGGGGGGTATCAGCGCCAAAAACAAATTGATTCTTTCTTCAAAATCTTTACATTTCAGTAAAGCTTCCTGAAATAAACGCATACCTACTTTAATCATGTAATTAGAAACAATCTAATAACCAGTACCTCATATTGCGAAAATACATCCAACGGAATCACGAAAGCAGAAATTTTGCTCAAAATGGCAGTTTGGAATTGAGCTTCCGTTTCATGCGCGAACTGTTTTTTTAAAGAAGAAGTTGAATAAGCTGGTGAACCGTCGATTAAAATCAGAATACCAGTGTAGCCATTCCTTTCTAGCAAACTGATCATTTCTAGAGCGACTAGAGTTCCAAATGAATATCCAATAATGTAAAAGGGCGTGGTTCTGGTTAAATAATTTTCGATGTGCTGAAAATATTATCATATTAAATAAATAAACTTTCACATACGTGTATAAATTTTAACGAACCGGGAGTGTATTCTGTGCAAGTTCTTCAATAGAGTCCTCTGAATTTTTATAGTTGTACTGGGCTCCTATTACGTGGGCTTTCAATGAATTCGTTAAATACTCTAGTGGTATGAAGATGCCTTCTACTCCTGGTAACACCAATACGGTAGGAGCTTCCACATGTGGTTCCACTTGACTATTTAATTTAACAACAGGCAGATGGATAGTTTCGCTATTGGGAATGCTCTGAATAAGCAAATTTGTCCCTTCTTCTATTTTTTTGTTTACAACTTCCCCAGATGCTTTCATTTTCTCTGCCTCCATTTCAGTCAATCTGAAGTTCAGCAATAAATTACAACATTTTCGCAATGACATAACAATTACTTTGCAAATGTTAAACTTCTCACATCTTTGGATGTTACATAGATCCCAAAATCTTTCTCTAAAAGTTGAATAATCTCAGTTCCCATTAGCGAATCCATACCGAGTTCCGCAAATGTCGTATATTGACTTATAGTTTTCATGTCTTTTATTCCTACAACATGTGCAACCGCTTCTACTGCACTAAGATTATCGCTTTTGTCGTATTTTTTGGCAACCACCATACTAGAAACAACTGGATATTTGTGTTTCAATAACACATCCAATACTTCAAGACAACTTGAAATTTTTTGTTGAAGAGTACCACCAATCACTAACTCTTTATTCTCCTTTTGCATTTTCGCCACCAAACCAACCTTTAAAATATTTGCAATCTTAAAGAATTTTTAAAAATGTGTTGAGTACTTCACCGATTGCACCCCACTGGATAGCTACCGCTGGTAATCCTTCTCGCTTTCTATTCTCGCATATTCTTTCCATAACAGAGTTTGCCATACCGTAGTTGCTCTGACCCGGATTCCCACGTCCACATGATACTGACGAAAATATAACAAAGTACCTAAAATACGTCACCAGAGTCTAATGTTGTCTCTAAGTTGTAAGTAAACCTTAGTTTTGGACACAATTTTCTAGTGACTCGATCCAAATATAGTGTAGCGCGAGCTTTTGGTGCCAAGGAAGCTTCGAAATTTTCTTGAGTTTGATCTTCAAAGAGTGCATCTTTAAGGACAACAGCTAAGTTAAAAATAGCATCGACAGGTCCAAGCTTATTCGCTTCTTTAATTAAATCTTCACATCCTCTCTCAGTGGTTACGTCTTTTGTAGAAATTTTAACTTCGACACCGTATGTTGTCCAAATACTAAAAATACTAGTGTCTAACTTTACTGCGTGAAAAGATTATATTTTACTTTATTCTTTGCTGATGGTGACCATTTTGTATACCCGATCTTGAAGTTAGTACTAGTTTTCTTGCACCTCTCAAAATCAACCAGTCGCATAATTCTAAACCAACTCCACCTAGCCCTCCAATAACAATGTAGGTGTAACGCACGTCACAGTGGAAACTTAAAAAAATTGATTGATTAAGATAGAAAATTGTGGATAAGGATATTGCAGTGATAATATTTAGATATAACATAAAAAAAACAAAAGTGGGACGGAACCGAAAATATGTGACAAATAAGATGACAATTAAATATATGTATCTCTTAAAACAACTACTTTCGTATTTCTAACCTCTCTCTCCACGCTATCTGACTACTCTTGTCTCATCCATTCATTCTAAATGTTCCAGCCATTATAACCGTTATGACCTTATTACCACCATTATTATATCTTTTTCGTTTTTAAATAATTTTAGCCACACATCTTTGATTTCGTCCAACGGTACTTTATTATCTCATTGTTAACTTACCGTGGATTTGACATAATCTGGAATTTACTGACACTGTCTTCTTCTTCTTCATTCCGCAGCTTGATCAATATCCTGCCAATATGTTTACCTGTCATCATGTATCTGTACGATTTTTCAACTTCATCTGCCCTGAACACAATCCTGGGAAGTGGTTTTACAAAACCTGCTTCAATTCCATCCATTAAATGTTTAACCACGTTAAGCTTCATTTCCCTAAAGTTATTAAAAACGACATCTAATAATATGCCATGATAGCTAGCCTCTTTTTCCATGAATAAAAGATTCAAAGAACTATCATTTGCCAGATCGTATTTGCCAATTTCCATAAACTTCCCTCCTCGTGCTAAACACCTAATCGAAGCCTGCAATTTATCTTCACTTAGGGAGTTCAAAATCATGTCAACCCCTTTATTCCGAGTTTCAGTTTTGATCATTTGTTCAAACGAAATGTCTCGTGAATTCCCAATATGGTTGTCTGGAATTTGTGGATAATTTTCTTTTAAATAAGCTCTTTTTTCCTGGGTGCCAACGGTTACATAAATTTCGCATTTATAGTGAAGGCAAATGTTCAAGGCAGCTAGTCCAATACCACCAGTGGCGGAGTGAATAAGAACTGAGGAACCCGGTTTCATATCGCCAACCTTAAAAAAATACACTATTAAAGAAATTAATTTTCTTCTTGCGTAGGTACCATTAAAAGAGCATAAATAACAGTGGAATACACAACAGGGACCGTTGCTGCATCTTCAAGTGACCATGAGTCTGGTATTTTCCAAACTAAGGAAGAATCGAGAGTAACATAGGAAGAAATACCTTGATTGTTTGTCATTGCAGCTATTCTACGCCCGCTGTAAATAAAGTGTGTAACATAGTTTTTTCAAATAAATAATACCACCTTAAATCTTTTCCTGAAAATTCAAATCCTACTAGAATCTCTTGGCCTAGTCGATGTGATTGAATCATTTCGGGATTTACACGCGCAGAAGCCGCCATAATATCTTTAAAGTTAACTGACGCATAATATGTCTACAAACAGCAAT